CACTAAGACATTTATGTTTGACTGTGTGCTATGGCCTGCCAAAATAATTTCTTGTAGGTTGTGTAAATGCAGCTCTCATTTTGTTTTGTTGGTTGATATTGAGGTGATTTAAGTTAGACTTCAAAGTTTTGACTATAGTCTCAACTAATAAAACTTAGTCACAAAGTAAGAATGATAAAATCTGTCATCACCTTGAGAAAGGAAATTGTAGGGTAACCCAGACCTCCCATTAGCATCTCTTCTAACATGGTTTCTTTCGTCTCTATCAGAAAACACATGTACAAAAAAAGGCTCGGAACTGCGTGAGAGCATCAGTAAACTTGAAAGCAATATCACGTGGCATAACCATTCACTCGACCCAGCTATAGTCAATATGTTTTAACTCTACAAGAGACCTATGCTGTAGTTGGTTTGAAAACAGCTATATGAAGGATTTTCTGAAACATTCCTATTCCTCCACATAACTGAAGAGATGACCTGTAAAGCGAGAATTGCTGTTGGCGGAAAGCTTGCTTAATTGCTGCATAGGATGTTGCAGTTGAGATTCAGTGCTAAAGCATTTGCCCTGCTTGTTCAGCAAAACACTGATGGAGAAGGAAGAAGCAGTTAAATTAGAACTAAAATAGGAGGACAATGAAGCACATTTTACCTGTAGATATATATTATCCTCATAAACAAAGCATACTGTTATTTTCTGAACTGGATTCTGCATGAGTATCCAACCTTTTGCCTTGCTTGGGCTGCAAGTGTGGCCCTGAGTGAAGAGGAGTTGTATGTAGTTACAAAGGATTTACTTAGGTTACTCCAAAAGTAATGCCTCCTATTTATTTCTATGGAAGCATCAACAGTTACAAAGAGCACAGTAACTGTGATTGAGCAAGTTCTCAGCTACAAAACACTACTTTTCAACATAGTCATCACAATTAGCTATGCATTTTTGCCAGTGATGAGCAAGAGCTCATTTTACAAGCGCCGTGCTTGTAAAATTCTGTACTAGTGGAGTTACCTACTGTTGTCACTGCTGAAATGCACTATCACCTCACTGTGCTCACATCCACTGTTGGATCTCCACAGATGTTCAGCAAGCATCAATGAATGCCAGTGGGTAACATTTTCTTTTGCGTAGAGGAATTCATTTTCACCCCTTTGTGTCAGATGCCATTTTGTCAGATCGCCCCTCTGCTGCCATCTGTCACACAGCAACAAAACGCGATAGAATATTGTCAGGACTGGCCAACCTCTGCTGCCATACCACCATCTGCCTCTGATGTTGTGGGCCAATATAATAAAAGAGGAGGCATTACTTTCAGAGCAGCCCTCGTTCAATATATAATACAGTTAATGTATATAAAAAATAACAAAACTTTTTATTCTTTAATGTTTTTTATTAAAACATATTAAAAAAGAGAGCAATAAAACATAAAACTGGAGTGATATTTGACCTTGGTTATGTGAAACCAATGCATCAGTCTCTTTCAATGGTAGTGACTGCAATTCTTAGTTCTCAAGGTGTTCAGTAGAGATTTTTTATGAGATTTTACTCTTCCCATCCTTCAAAACAGTTGTTCACAAATGTACAAACGTGATGTCAAAAAGTGATGGCCTGAATAAAGCGTAACAGTGAAGTGAGGGATGTTTCTCTCTGGTAAGAGAGATCGTATAAAAGTCTGGTAAAGAGATGTGATCCAGTTTTTAATTGCAACTCTATGCATTCCATCTGAAAATTCACAAATAATGCATTTATGTTGAATGAAAACAGAGTTGCAAATTAAAAAACAGATGATTTTTTTTTTTTTCAGCAATCTTGAAACCTCAAATGTTTTTATCAAAATGGAAAGCACGGCTTCGTATTTTTTTGCTGTTCACAGGACTGTGTTCAGCCAGCATATCAAAGTGCAGCAACTCATTTGCCATAATTTGAGCTTGCTCTGCACGGCATCCCATGCCCTGGTTTCAGCCCAGATAGGGTTCATAGTGCCCTGATGTTTGGCTTGGTGGGGAAGAGCTGCTGCAGTGTGGCAGTGAGCAGGCTGCACTGTGAGCTGTGCTGGGCCGCATGTAGCCCATGAGCTGTGAGTTCAACATGCCTGAAATACTATAAGGCAACATAAACGTGATGTTAATGCATCCTTTAAACTGTACGGCCATCTCAAAGTGGTCTCCGCTCTGTTGCCTTGTGGGGTGTGGTTTCGGTCAGCTACAGCTTGCTTGTTTAAATATCTTCATATACCTTGATTGTAGCTCATCCTAAGGGAACTGGTGCTTTGAATAGGTAACAGATGATGTGGTAGCTGCATCTCATCATAAGCAAACTGTGCTGTTATTCAGGTGTGGCCAGTTTAAGTCCCATTATTTTAGTGCTCTGCTTCTTTTGTGGCAGTCTCCCTGCCATTTTTATTAAAAGGCAAAGTGTCTTGTGAAGGTCTGGATCAGAACAGAGCACAGTTGTTTGCAAACTAAATGCACTTTCAGAAGACAAAGAAGGATCTTTTGATATTAGTGGTGCAAAATGGACTGCTTGTCATGGTACCATATCATTTGCATATGTCAGAGAGAAACTGCTGTGGTTTTGAAGGAAGAGTTTCATAAACCTGATGCTTAGACACTTAGGCATCATATACAGAAAGACACAAAGTGTGTGCCTGCATTCCTACCTGTAGTAATCAGCTTATGTAAAAGCTTGAGGAAGGAAGGACCGCTTCTTTTCCCACTGCGCAAAATGTTTCCTTCAATTTGAAAGGTGAAATGTTTGCTACTGATGTGATCTTCATAAGCACTAATAAACCTCTTAATCGAAACACTTGCAAGAATATACTAATATGTTATACTAATGTGTCCTAAATAAGGCTTGGTCAGAGCAGATGGAAATGTAGGAACTTCAAGGAGGAGTTCTCTTTGAAGTGAGTTTTCCTTTGGGCTCCTTGCACCACAAGACAGCAGACCTTCAGCTCAACCAGGGGCCATTCTTCATGCACCTGCTGCTGGCATGCCTTAGAAGACATGTAAAGGAGAACCCAACAGTAAAACTTCAGCATTGTTGTGGCTTGTATGAAGGGAGAAGCGTGTCTTATCTACATAAGTGCACCTTGCATATATCCGCATCAGCAGCATGGCAGGAAAAAGAAATGCCTCTTGTTCTCTCCACATGAGATGATCCTTAAAATTCTTGACAATAATGAAGCTTCACTGCAAGCCGTAAGGAGCCCTAGGGCCTTGTCAGACATTCTTGCACTTATCAGCTTATTCTGTTGCACCTTGATAGAGATAAGACCAATTATTAGATCTTCAGTTTAGACTCCCCGCAGTTACTCAGTGCAGGGAGTTTTCATTATCTGTCCTTTACTGCTCTAGCCCTACAGTTTACTTTATTGAGATTATGTACTTGTTGCTAATGGCCGAATTTGGCTACCAGGAAAGGATGTGGTTTTGAACTCTGTGGGATGTCATTGATGTGTAAATCATCCGATCTCTTCCAAATAGTGTCCGCTCCACAACTTTTCTCTGAGGTGTCTAGCCTTCAGATTGGAAAATAATTAGTGATTTTGGATGGTCAGCCTCGGGAGTCCTCAGAGGGATCCAAAATCTTCATTAATTGTTGTTATGGAAAATGACATATTCTAAAATCGTAGAGCCCCAAGTTTTTGAAAAGGCTTGCATCAGTATTCACGAGAGATTAAAACTTACCAATATTAATGAAAGAATACTTGCATCAGGAGTCCCTCACCTGCACAGTAGATGTATTTTAGAACACTGTGCAGATTCTGATGTTACCGTTAAGACGAAACTAAGCAGATAGAAGTGATTCAGTCATCTGTTACTGGATTTAAATGAGACCTGCATGCTGCTGTGAGACCTTTGAGCACCTCAGATGTTGGTCTGCAATCTGCTGTAACCAGGTGAGGCAGAGGCCTGCAGCAGCAGCGGGTGGTAAGGAGTTACACATACACTTGTTAGACCCCTTGCAGTGCCTAGTTGATAGGGCAGCTTGCCTTCAGTGTTTGCTAAACTTATGAAGGTATGAAAACCTAATATTATACACATCTACTAGTTGCTATTTGCACTATATATGTATGGTTTTTTTGTTATGTACTTGTAGTAGATAGGATATAAGGGATTTTAGTACTCGGATCACATGGACTGCTATTTTTTTTCAGATGAATGTGAATCTAAAATTGAGTAGGCCATGTCAGCAATAAATATGCAGTTAATTTTTATCCAGATCTGCGTGAAGTTCCAATATTTGAGTGTGTACTGATTATCTTTATGTTAATACCGATGATCTGATGCTTTCCCAAAAAAAGACTTCTCAGTGACTTGGAAAGAAAAGGGCTATCTCTAGTGTTTACTCTGATAAAGATATTTCACGGAGGTGGTTTGTTACACATGCATTGCCCAAATTCTCTGCTTGTATGAACTGGCAGAGCAGTCTACTCAGAGCAAGTTTATGCTGGTATGTATGGCAGATACTTTTCCCTTAGCATGCTGCAAATGGTTTCTGAATCTCCTAGCTCCTGAATAGGAGAAAGTTTTCATTAGGTTTCAAGAGTAATTTTGCTCCAGTGTGTATATTCTGGGTCACCAGTGTTAACACAGTGAGGTGTCTGTATATGATAAGGGAGACATTACACTTGAGCTAATGTACTTTTCTGGTTCAACTGAAAAAATGAGAATGATGGGGGGGCAAAGAATATCTAAATTGAGCAATGCATCAAGCACTGCCAATAGTCTTGAGTGCAGCTCAGTTCAAAAGCTTCAAAACTCTGCTTAAAGGAACAGTGGAAATATTTTCCATCATCTATGAAATTACATGGCTTGTTTACTGTTTCTTGTTTATCTGCTCTGCATGATATGTCATATTTATCGGTAAAACAGGCTGTAGGGGGTAACAGTACTTAAATGTTTATTTTATGATGTTTTGGCTTTTGGTGTGTTTATTCTGCATTTTCTAACTAAATCTGTACTCAGCTTTTTCTTCTGCTGTTACACTTTATCTGTCTCAGGCTGCCTGGAAAAAGATGATGATGTAGTCTGGCAAAATGAACTCAAGAAACAAGAAGAAGATGCTAGAGACTGATCTGCAAGTCGTTCAGGTATTTGTGATTTTATTATGTATACCAGTAGTTGCATGATGTAAGGTACTCTGCAGTTTACAGGCTTGAGGGTAAATATTTGTGTTAACTCACAAAAGGTGATGATAAAACAACATAAAATGAATGAAAAAGTCACAAGAATCAGTAAAGCTGCAATTAACAGATGAAGCTGTGATTGAACAGGTACTGTGTAAGAGTTGCAGCTTGAAGTTCAATACATATTTAGGCTGCTGGATATTCTGTCTTACCTGTTAGCTAAGTCAGATTTTACCTTATTACTACCCAGAGTACTCACAGCCATCTAAGGAGCTGAGGATAAAGCTGGCTCTTTCCTGACTTCCACTGGAGAAAAGTGAAAAGGCAACATCTGAAGAAGGCACTGTCAATTCCCAATGATCCCAGGAGAACTGAATTAGATCCTGGAATCTGAGCAAGCCAGAGGTGAGGCTGTCATGAGGGTGAAACTCATTTGAGTGCCCAGAGGTGAGAGAAGGCCTTGTGTACTCCAAAGATTTTGTTAAGATTCAAATAGAATGAACATCTTAAACACAGTTGAAAAAAAGTTTGGCATTTGCAGTTCTTTCACTGTAGAAACTGGGCTTTCTAGTTCGATAGCAAGGATGGTTTAGAGCAAGGTTGTAGATTTATAGATTTAGGAAAATAGATCTTTTATTGGTGCAAAGGGAAAAGTAGTACAGATGTCTGTTTAGTCTCTACTTCACTGAAACAAGGAGGAAGATTGTGTGATTGTTTTTCAAACTTTCTTGTGAGCAGATCTGCTTTAGATGTGGAAACTAATGACTTATCAGCCTGTAATCATATACGTTTTTGTATTACAATAATAGTGTAGTGATATTGACTGTTTTTATATTTTTATTTATTTATAACTGATTAATTTAGTGAAGCAAATTGGATTGCTAACAAGCATAAAGGTAAGAGTATTGTTCACAGAATGCATCAATGCAACGTGCATTCTAAGAAAATGTTTTAGTATTATAATCATTACAGTCTTACTTTATCTCATTATTATAATGAAATGATTATGAAACAAACATTGCAAACTGTTGTTCATAATCACATATTTTAAGCTGAAAAAAAGAAACCCACCAGCAGAAGCACAGCTACCTCCAAAGGGTGTATATTGACATCTGTGTCAGCATTATGCAAGAAATCATCCTTATTAAATATTATACCATATGTGACTGTCTGAAAAGTAAATACGACTGAACAACAAAGTCACCCTAAATATTTTCTTCCCAAACTATGCACTACCAGCTTTCAGATATTACTCAAGTTCATGTTCTATTATTTGTGCATTCCAGTGATTTTGGCAGCGTGTTGGTGGACAGTATATTGATTACTCTCTTGAATTTTGCTATTAAACTGCTGGTTTCACATTGTACAGTTTACTTCATCTGAGTGAACCTCAGATGCTTTGCATGCAGAATTGAAGCACCTGATTTTGCAACACACAATACAGATGTAAGATGTGAGATCAGTGAATGACAGTGTAGCAGTCTCGTTTATCTATTTTTTCTTTACTGGCTGTTTGGGTTTTTTTTTTTTTTTTTTTTTTTTTTTTTTTTTAATGTAACATTGGTCTTTCAATGCAAAGCAGTTGCTAGTAGCATCATCTTAAAATGTAATGACAGCAACAAAAATTCCTGGTTTGCTTCCCAGTGTTTTTGAACCTCAAGCCAGATCACTGGCCTTCAGAAATATCCCCAGAATATGATTTTGGAGACAGAAGAAAAAAACAGGAATCTGCTGTCAGAAGCTGGCAATGTAGAATTAGAAAATTCTTCTCTTCAACTTTCAGGAGTGGTACTATTTTCCAATAAGAAAGATTAATTGTATCTAAATCATTTTAACTTTTAAGGTGTTTACTCAGTTGCATGTTTCATTCAGAAGAGTTCATGCTGTAAGACAGGACAAATGAGCCTTATCCAAATTCTGCTGAGAATACATAGGAAGACTAGTATCTGAGAATATTCTGTAACCTGAAATTAAGAAACAGTTTTGTAGCCAAAGGAGAAAAATTGGTGGTCAAATCAATTATCCTGTATTTTAGATGTGAATTACAGACCTTACTTAGTTCAAAAACTCATAATCATGAGGAAAATAAACCTGGCTTTGAACGTCACGTTGTGGTCATTTTAGCACATCTGATTTCCTCAAAATAAGAAAAATCTAAAAATCAGATTTTCCTTTTACAAATCTCAAACTATATATAATTTGGATAACAGTGAATTACAAGCTACTTTAGAAAGGATTTTTTTTTCCTTCTTTGAGGAAAAAATTGCACATAAAATTTAACTGCAAAACTTTTTTTCCTTCTAAATATTTTGTATTTTCTAAATAAATTGCAGTTATAATAAAGCTACTCACAAGCGTTGTTATATTCAATAAATTTTTTTTCATTTTAGTTTTCAGAGGAGTAGTTCTATCAGTCTATTAACATGGCATTTCTAGAAGATGATGGCATTTTAAGTGGAACTTTCCAGAGTGGAAAACTTCACTGTTAAAGCTCTAGTATGTCTCATTCCAAAACACTCTATATTGAGTGTAGGAAGTATTAGTAAAAAAAAAAAAAAAAAAAGTATTAATACAGGATATGATGCAAGATTATTCCAGTTAATTGTATAAGCCAGGTCTTTCATTCCTGTTTGCTACATCTCGTAACGAAGGCAATGGTTTCAAAAAGTGCTGGAGTATTGGCTATTTTTTTGAAATTGATTCAGTGTTGAATGGTGACAGTGGTGTCTGGTTGCTGTTGACGATGATGTTTGGATTTCAAAATGATGTCTTTGTACCTGTTATGCAGCCCAAGCTTGAGCAAAGCAAATGTAGCAACAGTGGTTAAATATCAGCTGTAAAATCCAGATATGATGAGGATGTTGGGGAAGAAGAAAAAAAAAAAATTAACTGACTGCCATCATGTTGCAAGTTCCAGAACTGAAAGTTTGGTGGTCTGAAAGTTTGCTTTTCTTGCTTTTTCTTGCTAATGTTCAAAAAGATAAATGGTTTTGTTTCCCCTTTTTCTGTGGGTCAGAAGTTGGACCTCAGTATCATATATTAAATAATAAAGTATTGTGTGCGGAAGGAAGAGAATTTAAGGTGTGAATTAAGCTTGGGTTATAATATAACTGACAACAGAACACCAGAGAAGAGACATGAGCTGGGATGAGATGAAATGAGACAAGACATGAAAGAAGGGGTAAATTGATGAGTTATCAGCCTACAGATGGAATGTGAAGATATATGAGTGGAGAATGAGATCATCGTGGGGAAGTACACTAGAGGAAAATAAGGGGTTTCACAGGAAAGATCCCAGTAGTCTCTTATGGATAGTGGGAGGATTGATTTAATCCACAGGAAAACGAATATGAAAAATGATATAAAGATGGGCTGACTTCCAAACCTCAGAGAGGCTTGATTTTTCTCACATTGTACTTCAAAAAAAAGAAAAGAAAAGAAAAAAAAAGGCACTGAGGATGACCCTGAACCTCGAGCAGTATGTGGGATCTGTGCACCTTGATGGTAATCCCACCGAGCTAAAACTACATAAACAGGCTTTCAATTTTGGTAATGAAAGGCAATTCCCAGCATTTAAAGGAAACAAATGTGTTTCTTAGAATAAAGAGAGGAGGCAAAATTATTGCCTTCGATCTAAACAATGTTGTAGATTTCTTAAAATGTTAAAATTTGCCTTCCATTCTGGAGACTGAAAGCATGCTTCCATGTTTCCAAGTAACTGTGTCCTTTGTGTTATGCTGAAACTAAATAATTTCTTATGGATGATAAGTGGTGGGATTGCTTCCCAAGTCCTGTTGAATGAAATTTCAGTTGACACAATTATAATCCATTTCAAGATTCAGCATCTTAAAATTTCCACCTACAAGATGAAAATAAATACGTGCCTGCTTGCAAAGTATTAAATGATACCTACAGATATGTCAAGTTTCTGCATTCCTTGAATCATGTCCACCCCACCTCTTTTCTAATTTTATTCTCACACCCTGTTAGGAGTCATTAGGAGGATCTGTTCAGAGAAGTGCACAGAAATCTGTTATTCAGCTGAATCTGCAGAATCAGCTGGCAGACTTATGAGGAAAACTTGTCTGGAATTTCTCCTTGCTTCTAGTTCTGGTAGGAGGAATTTAAAAGAAACAGAGGAGTGATCCTCCCAGATTCAATCATTTCTGGTTGATGTCTTCACTAAAAATATTATGGAGTGCTTAGATTGCTGGTCAGAAGAGCAGTTTTGATTTTTTTTTAATGCCATCAACATTTTTTTAAATTTTTTTATTATGACAGTGAAAAAAATCATAATGACGCATTATTCTGAAACTTCATGTGCAGTTAGTTTTGGGTGATACTGAAAAAATAATGGTAGTTTTTTTCTCAAATAAGAGGATTAAAAAATGAGAGATTTTTTGCTCAAATTTGGCCAACAGACTGAGACAGGAATGATTAACCATAATTTTTAGTATTTCACATTTTGTGGACCAGTTCCTGACTATTTCCTCACAGCAGGTAGCAAAGAGCTACTCACATTACAGTATCTCCTAAGGAAGGGATGGAAGATCTGAGCCCACGGGCTGAGTCCCGGGACTCATCCAGCAGAGAGGTGGGCTGTTCGCCCTTCCAACTGTCACCTGTCCTCAGCTCTAGCCAAAACAGAATGCCTAAGGAAGTGAGTAAGAACAAGTAAATTATGTATCATATTTCTGCTGAATTATCCTGCAATGTTCAGCCATCCTAGAGATGTACTCAGTTAGGCATATTTCCTTTCTATTTAGTAACCATAGTGGATTTCTATTCTGAAAATTCGTACGCTCTTCCTCCGAGCCCTGTAAACTCTGAGCATCTACATTATTTTGTAGGAGCCCCATAGCTTAAAATGTGTTATGAAGAACCACTGCCTGTTTGTTTGTTTTGGAACTTCCTCCTCCTAGTTATAGATGAAAGAATGCATTATAGAATCTGACAACAGAGCTGGTAAAGGATTATTGAGATTATATTTTGAAATGTGAGTAATTCTGGGAAGATGTTAGCTTAGTGGGGTAAATCAACATAATTTAGTAGTCCAGGATAGGGTAGCCTTGTAAATGAGGTAACTACTAACCCAAAAGGTCTGCGCTCCAAGGGAGCGCAGGGAGTTTATGTCATAAAGGGAGTTTATGTCATAGCTGCCATATCAGTTCTAAGCATGGGCATGTTTGGTAACAGCAGAAAATCTCACGATAGGTGCTAGTTTAAGAAAGCATTTAAGCATATTTAATTCTACTACCATGTTTCAGACTAAGCAAATACTGGCGTAGTTTACATTGTTTGCATTTTATTCTTGAGGTATTTTGTATTTATAAAATGTAATTGTGCTGGAACACGTATGTTAAAATCACATCTACCTACTTGCTTGATGAACACCACGTACTTTGGACTTTGCTGTCGTTTGATATGTATTAGATTTCCTTCATTCC